ACAATGAAAGGGAAATGACTGATGTTGCTACATGGGTACAGTATGTCACTGAGGAAGGAAAACAACAGATCGGAGCAGAAGGAAAAAGGTCTTTATTAAACAGTAGCAGCTTAGAGGATGCAGAAGTGTTTTGGGTTACTAAAAGCACTCAGATGAGTATGTACCATAAATATCTGATGGTATCATGTTGTATTCAAGGTATGAGGATATATTATACATAGGAACAAGTCACAGGTTTATTCCGTGCTGAAAAAAAGAAGAAAGAGAACACAACGTTTCGGCCGTGGAGCCTTCTTCAGGTGTCGGTTCAGTTCAGTTCACACCTGAAGAAGGCTCCACTGCCGAAACGTTGTGTTCTCTTTCTTCTTTTTTTCAGCCTGGAATAAACCTGTGACTTGTTCCTTTGCAGCCTGCGCATGCTGATGCAGCTGCCCACCTACAGTATATTATACGTAAGCTATTGACACAACTCTTTCATTGAGCAATAATTCTGTCTTCTACTTGATGAAAAGCTTTTATTAAAACTAAAGAAGAGGAATATATGATACTGTGTATGTAGACTCCCAGGTATGACTCTTCGGGCAGTGAAGGTCACAGCTCTCCTCCTGTTGATGCTGGAGCTCTGGTAGGGGGTTGTGCTGCCTGTGACACTGTGACCCCAATGTGGGAGTGTTGGGGAGTCTCTCTACACTCCCTCACTCACCCTTGTCTGAACCCCATCGTTATCACCCCAGATTACAGCAGGTGGGTTTCTAAACCAAATAGTGATGTAAATAATCCCTTCAGACTCTGGAGAAGGAAAAGATTGAGGGACACCAGGCCTGCTAGTGCTGTATTAGAGCAGCAGTTTGTATTTCAGTATCTAAAACCTAATAGACTCTTTCTGAAGTAATGAAAATAAAGCTGTTTTGTACTTCTTAAAAAACTAAATCTAAAATTATCTGAATTAGACACTAAGTCTAGTTCCATTCGAGTAGCCTCCAGAGGTACAAGAGACACTGTCCATCTTGACTCCTGTCCAGCTTCTTCCCACTGGGACCAGGCTGTGTGTCAGGACACTGTGTCCTGTGAGGACTGAGGGTCACACTGACTGCACTACTGCTGCCCTCTTTCACACTCACAGTGGACAAGAGCAGCTCTGTTTGGTACAAACAGCTTGAACAGAAATTCAAAATCACTTCAAACATGAGAATATATAAGAAGACAAGAAGATCAGGAAGGGTGTAATAGAGAGGCTCACAGTTGCCTCATCAGTCCTTCTTGATTTCCAGTAACTAATTGATCTGAGGGTCTCATCCAGCTACCTCTTCAAGAAGCCAGGGTATCAGATCCAGCTACAGAACTGTGAAGCATGTTCCATCCACCTGCCACCCTCGCAGTAAAGTATCTCCTGAGTGATGGATGACTAATTAATCCAGGTAATACTGTTTCCCCAAGCAGAGTCCAGGTGGGTCAGGGTGCAGACAGGGAGGGAACAGGATCAGTCAGGATACAGGGGCATTCAGGCAGACTGGGAGCAGAAGGAAGGCTGGGAAATGCTGGCTAGTGGCTGGGCAGGACAGGGACTGGTGACGCAGTGCTGGACTGCAGAGGAGAGACTGAACAGGGTTTAAATACCCCACAGCTCCTGATGCAGACTGATGTCTCAGTCCAGTCAGGCACTGTGGTAATATTATACTGAGACAGAGAGCTGGGAGGAGTCAGCCTGTGTTCATGAGTCAGAGACATGGTTAATCTCCACAGCTGACAGCAGGCAGCAGGACAAGGTTTTTACCTAAATCCAGGGTCCAGAAGACAGGATAGATCTTCTCCCCCTGATTGAAGACCATGTCAGTGAAAGTGTAGATGAGAGTCCTGGACTCCACTGTGTAAAAGGAAACCTTCCTCTCCTCAATATCTACACACACCCCCAGCCTCCTGGGCTGCAGACTGAGGGGGAGTGGGGTCACAGGGTCAGTGAGAGCAGAGATACCAGAAGATCCAAAGTCCAGACACCAGTAACCCTCCTGGGGAGAGAAGCTGAAGTCTCCTTTTCTCTCTGCTGACTCTCTGCTCAGTCCTATTCTCCACCAGTTATTCACCTCTACCTCCCAGTAGTGTCTCCCTGCGATGAAGCCCTCCCTGCTCAAGACACATTCCCAGTAACTAAATCTGTGTGGATTGTCAGGAAGACTCTTCCTCTGTCCCAATCTCACTCTCTTCCCATCCTCAGACAGGGAGAGATCACAGTGAGCTGTATCAGGGTCCAGAGTCACGTCAGCTGTGGGAATAAAACAGGAAACATCACAAGAGTCTCCTGTCATTATATGATAATTAAAGTCAAAATGTACTTGTGAAATGTGTTTGTCCCACCCAGGAAAAAAGTAAAGTAATTATAATTGAATTGACATCCTATTAATTTATGGCCATTAATGATAAGGCTTTGGAAAATTGAAAAGAAGGACATGCTGACAGAAACACAATTCAATCAGCAGCAGGAGTGATTTATATGCTATGTATGTGCTAGGATCAATGACCCCACTGCTACCAATAAATCCTTCTGTGTGGGTCAGAGTTCAGAGTTCAGTTTATTGTCATATGCACAAGTGCAATTTCCCTCACGGGATCAATAAAGTATCTATCTATCAATACATAGACATTAAAGAAACACCAAAAACATTTTCACAGAACAGCAGGTCTAGAGGTCAAGAATCCTGTCTCCTTCTCTTGGAGCTCACAAGCCTCAGTTTGGCACAGAATCACTGTTTTATTGATCCTGAACCCCATTCCAGGTTTTAAACATTTATAAAAGACACCTGACTGTGTTTCTGGACAAAGAGCTCCTGTTGCCCTCTACTGGACAGGAATGGACACTGCAGTCTGGCCCTGAAGCTGACAAGACAACATCTTCCCCTGATCTTTCACACCTATTCTGTGTAGAACAGGACACTGTGTCCATCACTGACCTGTTCCACAGGAGAGTCTGTCAGTGTGAAGCACCGATACTCTATATATCACCTCTGTCCTGAAATGAGGAGTCTGATATCACAGGTAAACACCCCACACTCACCCTGCCTAACCAGTGAAATATTGACAGACCAGCGACAGTCTTTAATTAAACACACCACTGGTCACTTACTGACCAGGACCATATGAACAGCAGCTGGGCTGAAGAGAAAGAGCCCAAAGATATTACCCCTGTCCAGGAAGAGGAGCCCTACAGCCCCAGTAAATACCCCTCCTACACTGACCATGGGCTGCTGACTCTGACATGTCTGAGCTGCACTCCTTTTTCATCAGCAGAGGACACCTTGACAGGGCCCTCATCCGAGCCAAAAACAGCCCTCGGACCATCACCTCGATCAGGAGCCCCCGGCCTAACAACCGCATTCCTCTGGTGCTTCCCTTCCACCCCAACACACTCTTTATCTCCAGGACCATCACCTTTCCTAGCCTACAGGACGATCCCTCCACTGGGGCCCTCGTACCCGAACGCCCCATCCTCTCACATCGCCGACCAGCTCATCTACTGCACATCGCCTTCTTGTCCACAGCTCCCTCCACGGCCCACACCGGGCACCTTCCCCTGCAGCAGAGCTCGCTGCATCACCTGCAGGTACATCTCCCACCACACTCAGTCACGGCCCCTCGGGACAACGCCGGATCACCCAGATGGCATCCTGTACCTCCAGCAGCCTCGTTTACTGTATCTCCTGCAAAAAATACCCAGCTATCTACGTTGGGGAAACCAGAACGAGACTAGGAGACCGCTTCAGAGAACATGTCAGGGCTGTGAAGATTAAAGATCTCTCCAAGCCCATTGTTTCCCATTTCACCTCTGACGGCCACGACCACTCTAATCTCTCTGTCTGTGTTCTCAAAGAAGGGTTTCTGAACTCCTATGGCAGAAAGACATCTGAAACTAAAATTATCCTGAGACTTGGTTCACACCTCCCCTCTTTTCTCAATGACCGACTTGTTTCCTTCTAATCCTCTGTATTGATTTGCAAGGCTTCACTTCACCTCTCTAACTTCGCACCACCTGAGTGCCCACTCTGCCTCCCCCTGCTCCCACCTCCTCCCCTCTCCCGGCTTTTGTTCTCCTGTGTTTTATCATATTTGCTGTCTGCCCTGTCGTTCTCACACCCGATGAAGGCTCCACAGCCGAAACGTTGTGTTTCCTTTCTTCTCTTTTCAGCCTGGAGCAAACTTTTACTTGTTCCTTTGAAGGCTGCGCATGCTGACGCAGCTACAGTACCTACTTGAACTGTCTGAGTTGCTCTGAGGAAAACAGCCCCCAGAGACACTGACCTCATGTCATTAGAACACTGTAAAGAGACATCAGAATTAATTACCCCCTGTCCTGGGAGCTCAGTACCCTACTGCCCCTTCCTTTCATACCGCTGGAGAGTGTGAGTGTAGTTCTTATTTTTATAGGAAACAGAACATTGCAGTACACGTGCCCTGGAAAAAGTCCCACAGTTCCAACTTAAATATCCCTCAGCTATTCTAAGGGACTATTATATTCTTACACATTCTTAGAGCTCAGACACTGTGTCACACTGAGTGAGAAAAAGACTGCACTGATCTGGAAACACAGAAGCTAAATTTAATCCTCCTGCTTGTGAAGACACCCCAGAATCTCAGGTAAGTACCCCAACATTCACTGATGATGGTGATTAATGAACTGATGTTGAACTGACTGATCTATTCAGAGTCAAACACACCACTGAGCCTGTTCTTGAACCCAGATCACTGCAGCCTGTCTCAGAAGTGAACACAGCTCTCAGATTAATTCCCCAGCCCAGGAAACAGACTCCTTACTGACACATAAACACCCCCAACACCCTCCTCTCACCCCAACACCCTCCTCTCACCCTGACAGATAAGACACCCGACAGCAGAAGAGAAACAGTCCAGCGAGTCTCTTCTTGACTGGATCTGACTGCAAATGATGATGCTTTATCGATTCCTAACAGTCTTGCAGTTAACAGTCTCAGTTTTGCAATTGTTACAGTAAATTAAAACCCCCACATCACTACACTAAAATACTGCTAACTATATTCTAATTACAGTTGTGTGCAAAGGTTTGGGCAGCCCTGGCCAAATTACACGTTTTGTGGATTTTCTAAGTGAAAAGAAGTTAACACAACCTCTGCAGCGAACAAACATGACATATTTCTTTAAATTTTAATGCACGGTTACTATTTATTTGCTGAATTTAACAGATTGAAAAAAATTTAAACAGTAAATGTGGGATGTGCAAACGTTTGGTCACCCTATCAGTCAGTACTTAGTAACACCCCCTTTGGCAGAAACCACAGCCTCCAAACACTTCTTGTAGCCAGCTAACAGTCTTTCTATTCTTGCTTTAGAAATTGTTTCCCACTCTTCCTTGCAGAAAGCTTCTAGTTCAGAGATATTCTTAGGTCGTCTTGCATGCACTGCATGTTTAAGATCTACCCACAGATTTTCAAAAAGATTCAAGTCTGGGGACTGTGAAAGCCATTCCAAAACCTTAATCTTTCGTTTCTTGAAGTAGTTCATGGTTGATTTTGAGGTATGTTTTGGATCATAGTCTTGTTGTAATATCCAACCTCTTTTCAGCTTCAGTTTCTGCACTGACTGTGGGACATTAGCTTCCAGGATTTATTGATACTTAGTAGAATCCATTCTTCTCTCTACCTGCACAATACTTTCTGTGCCAGTGGCTGCCACACAACCCCAAAGCATAACAGATCCACCCCCATGCTTAACAGTTGGCAAGGTGTTCTTTTCTTCAAACGCTTTTCCTTTTTTTCTCCAAACGAACCTTTGGTGATTGTAGCCAAAGGGTTCAATTATTACTTCATCAGACCACAGCTTTTGGTTCCAAAACCCCTCTGGCTTATCTAAGTGTTGTGTTGCATACTTCAGACGTTGACTCCTGTGATGAGATCGCAGGTGAGGTTTCCTTCTGATGACTCTTCCATGCAGATCATGTCTGTGCAAGCAACGCTGCAAAGTAGATCAGTGCACCACTACTCCTGTGACAGCTGAACCTCCCTGCAGGTCCTTCGCAGTGATATGGGGGTTTCACTTTGCATTCCTGACCAGTCTAAGAGCAGTTCTACTGGAAATTTTTCTTGGTTTTCCAGATCTTGTCTTGACTTAAACAGTGTCCCTAAACTTCCATTTCTTAATGACATTTCAAAGAGTGGAAATTGCAAGCAGGAAGCGTTTAGATATTTTTTTATAGCCTTCCCCTGCTTTGTAAGAGTCAATTACAAGTATCTTGATTTTCTGATCCTCAGTCAGCTGCTTAGAGGAGGCCATGGTTGTTGAGTGTAAACACAACACCCTGAGAGGTTCGAAGTCAGATCATTTCTGAAGCTCTGAAATTGTCATCACTTGACTTAGATTAAGGCCTAACGTGTCAATTAAATTCTGAGACCTTACAAAACAACAACACTAGTGGATCAACTGGAAGGGTGCCCAAACTTTTGCACATGCCACATTTAATGGTTTATTTTTTCAATCTGTTAAATGTAGCAAATAAACAGTAACTGTGTAATATTTGCAGAAATATGTCAAGTTTAAGTTTGTTCGCTGGAGAGGTTGTGTTAACTGTTTCTCTTAGAAAATCAACAAAACGTAATCTGGCCAGGGGCGCCCAAACTTTTGCATAAAACTGTATAATAAAACTATATTCTGTTTTTTCCCCCAGGAAGGCTGAAAGCTCCTGTCTCTATTCTTTCATTACAGGTGGTGTAATAGCTCACCCTGGAGATTCCAGCAGTTACTGTACCTTGTAGCCTCAGTGGTCAATACTGTATAAATAAGCTGAATCCAAGCTGAAGTACAGAGTCAGACTCCCAGCAGGAGTGAGAGGAGGACTGATAAAGAAATCTGGCCTCTGATCTCTGAGACAAACTCACTCTAGAGGACCTCCAGGCCACCATCCTGAACCTTCAAGTCTGTGTGGAGCTCTGATTTATTATCTGTCCAGTGCCACCAGAGTCCATGGTCTGCCCACGAGTTGTCAGAGCCCTGCTCGTTGGGTGTCTTGTCATGAAGCCCTGGTAGAGAGCAGAGCTGACTGCACACAGAGAAGCAGGACAGGTGGCCTAAGCCGCAGTCCAGAGCAATTCCACTGGCTGGACAGGCCCTGCAGGAGCTGAAGAGAAAGTCAAAGAGATGGAAGGAAGAGAGAAGCTGGGATAAAGGAATAGAGGGGCAGACAGGTCCTGTGGTGGAGGGAGAATATATATATCTCACACTGGCAGTGAAACTGGGCAGATGACTGAAGGGTCATAGGTAACCTTCCTAAGCTGCTACCAGGAAGTTTACAAGAGGGAGTAAAAGGTTTCAGGAAGGTAGAGCAGTCAGAGGGCTAAATTTACTATATGGTACAAATGAATGGCTTGTGAGAAAGAATAAAGAAGAACTGTCAGAAGACAGATAGGAACAAGTGATCTTGGGTATCAAACATTAGTGAGAGAACAAGGTCAGAGAAGCTGGAACATGACTGAATATTTGGCTCATCTCCTTGTTCTCCCTGAGAATCATGACTTCACTTGTACACAAGCCAGTGAGAACCTGCACTCTGTAGCTCTGCCCTGCAGGGCTCTAGTGTTGTAAAGTGTGTGGGTCTGGAGACAGGTCTACTGGGCAGTGATCTCTCTAGAGAAGGGTGAGAGACAGTCTCTAAAACAGCTGCAGGAAATAAAACTCAACATGTTCTGTCTTCCTGTTGTCCTGAGAGTCTTCCTGTTCCCACTACAGTGAACCATGATCTTTATCTTGTGGGTCTGTTGTGAGAGATGTTCTGGAGGATTTTATAGTCGATTAACATAATTCTAATGATAAATGATAAATCTAATAATAAATGATAAATCTAATTCTAATGATAAATCAGTCTTGTTTGGCGGATTTGTGTGTGTTTCCAGTTACAGTAATAATTTTTGCTTATGTCTGTTTTATATTTACAGTCTTTTACTATTAATCTGTAGCTGATTTAAGGTTCTAGTTGATGTTATCACACAAGATACTATAAATGTTCAGACTCTGTGTCGGGGGGTCTGACTGGAATGGGGAGAAGGTGTTTCTGAGAGACACTCGGCTCTAATCTCTGCCTGAGAGGAGTCAGCTGTGGGCCCTTGTGGTCCTGATACCTGACAGCTGAGCTTCTTCCTATTGAAACAGCTGGAGTGTGAGGTAGCTGGGAGTGTGAGAGACTCTCCCAGTGCTGTGGCTGTGCAGGAAACCAGAGAGGAACAGAGAGGACCTCAGAGTAACAGAAACAGAGGGACCAGACAGCAAGCTGTTTTCTGAAGAAACCGAGGGGCTGACAGCAGCCCAGAAACAAGCAGATATAGTTTTTCATTTTGTCACCAAAGCCCTGAACTTTCACTGATCTTCCATACTGTCACAATATTGTACACGAGGTTTTAATCAGCAGATTATTTATTATGAGACTGGCTCTGCCCCTGATTACTTCTGATATTCTACACCCATCCAATGTGATGCTGCAAGGACTTGAGCCTTAAGTGGTGGTACATCTCCAAAGCATCATACCACATATGGACATTTATTCCTCTGCCCATATTAGGAAGGCTGATCGATTCCCCACTACAGGCACAGAGCCACAGTCCACAGTCACACAGGAGCCTGCAGATCTCCCTGCTGAAGAGTGTCTGTGCTGCCCCTGCGCCAGCCTCTCCAGTGCAGCTTCTTCTCTTATATTCTACTAGATATAATCATATATATTTTATTATTGTTCCCTTTATGCCCTTGTCCTGCCTAATTGTTCGGGCAAGGGGTACGATATAGAAAGTGAACAGGATGGGGGTTAGTGGGGATCCCTGACGTGTCCCCCTTTCTAAAGCTCTGCTGCCTGTGAGGTTGACATTTACCTGAATTCTATCTGTGGGGTTTGAGTGTACAGTTCTCAAACACTTAACTCTTCGTTAAATTCAGACCTCTCTAATGCTTCAATTAAATGTTCCCATTCACTCAGACTAAAGCTTTTCAGCATGAGCTAAATTAGGGAGCAACGCATGTGGTCGCTATGGAGTGACACAGTATTGGGGTTCCTCAGGGTATAGTGTGGCGCATCATGTTCTCCCTGATAAGCACAAAGCCCATCTGAGGAACTTTGCTCACAACATTAAACACATCAGCTGTGTATAAAGCAGGAGTTACAACATGTCCCCCTGTTAGAGTAAGAGCCTGTATTGACCCCTGTGACCCTGCTGTGACCTTTGTAAATGACAAGTTCCTGTCAGTGACAACAGACTCACCTGCATGTTTGCGAAGCCTCTCAAACTCT